GATTTTCCTCAGGCATTTTTTTTAGAATTTGCAGTTGGCCTTTTTTTCTTCCTTCAGTCCATCGTTAATTACTAATAGTTACGAAAATTCTGTTGTTTCTTTTTTAATTCCTTGATCATTGACTTCATGATGCCGTGAGCTTATTACTGATTAAGTATTTTACCCACTCTATTGGGAATTTAGCCCTAAGGTCCCGACATTTTAGGAATCACGCTAATTAGTGTTGCCAAATTTTTTTAATTAAGCATTTTTTTAAACTAGTATTAGATAAATTTAAAATAAAAGTGGTGAACGAATATTTTGAACAAGTCTTTATAAATGAATGAAAATGTCTCGAACAGAAAAGATATTGCACAGTTTGTTGATGATTTTCCACTTATTAAGAAGTGATGCATATAGATAATAAGGGTTATTTTTATTTTTTAAAGTTTAATATCCCAGAAATAATTTAAACACCTGAGTTAGTTTTCTCTTCTTCTTTCTTAGCTTACTTGTAAAGCGAAATATATTATTATACTCCTAAGATTCTTCAGTGCAATCACAGCCATTATCACCTGACTTCTACTATTATTCAGGGTAAACTGCCTTGTTTGTAAGTTTATTTAGAATATTTATCTGTGTGGGTTAAGACACTAACATATTTCGTCTAGTGACATTAATTCTCCTTATATAGATAGGATTAGGCACTCATTTAGGTTGTACATATATCTTTCAGGAATTAATGAGGGAACTTATAAAAAGGCAGTTATTCGCCAAGAAAATTGTCCTTAAAAATTTTTTTTTAAAAGCCTCATTTTTTTTTTTTTTTTTTTTTTTTTTTTGGCTTCTAACTTCAGTGCACTGTGGACTTAAATGATGGTAGAAAATTTCCCCGACCCAAAGTCCATTTCTTTTTCGATATCCATCTCAAACCGACATCCTGAATGGTTATTGATTGGACGTGTCATTTCCCAAGGTCTCTATTGTAGTCTCCCCAGATGACCCCATCACAAGCTCCACATTCAGGTAATGTTTAGATCCTTGAAGACCACGCTGCATTTGTGCCATTTCGTGTGCGGTCAGCTGAAGCTAAACAGCCGGCAGGCAGACAATGCCATCAAGCAAAGGCATCATTCTCCTCCCTCCCTTTCCTTTAGTGAGCGTTACCGTAACAATAGCAACACTTAATTTCTCCCCTTTTCTTCCTTACCGCTGTCCAGCTCTGCACCAAACTGACATGCGCCCGGAGGAGCACAGGGAATTATAAACGAGTCTGGTTCCATTGTGTTTCGTAATCTTGCTAAAACTGTTTGCCCTAGGTCCCTAAACGTTCGTCATATCGGGAAGAAGTACATGCATCGTGGAATGTCATTTCCGAGATAAAGTGAGGGAACACATTCTATTTCTTTATTTATCGGGCAAGCATTTATGGCAAGATGGCTAGTGTCACTACTATTCCATTATACGCTTTGGTGAAAGAAATCCGAAAATGTGATGCAGTTGCAATGGTTGTTTTGGGAAAGCCGAAATTAAAATGAGGAATTACGGGGCTATTGCTAGTTTACATTATAATTTCAAGCTACTGATTTTTTAATCTTACACACACGACATAACATGAATGATTTGATTCTGAATGCGGTACAAACTTGCATTGAAATTTTCGATGAAACAGGACTTTAAACACGATTCATAGCTTAACAAACTCGTGTAGATTTCTTCATAATTAGAACAGGCCGAAGAATGTAATGACAGAACAATTATTGAAGCATTGAAATAAGAACGCTGAGACGTAGATGCGTATAAATATTAATTGCGTAGATACTTGATGCTTAAAGCGTCCATTCATTTTCAGCACGAGAAGAAGCAGTCGAGACGGATTAAATTCCTTTTTTATTTAAATTCTCACTTTGTGGCCACAATTCACTTGGCACTCTACTCGTGCCTATTAAAGAACATTATGATTCAGCATTTCTGCGCATAGTGCTTATAAAATTTGCGCTATCATTACGATAAAATGGCACAGCCGATTTTCGACCCTAGAGGCGTAGAACTGTTGATCCATAATGACTAGGAAATTGGAGGCGAAGGCAGATTAAATCTTCAATTTTATTTTAAGCAACATGTTGCGGCTACACACAAGTCAGCACATTAAATGTGCCTGTTCCAAAGGGCTTACATTTTTGATAGATTTGCAGCAAAAATGAAGAAGCAGACAGACTGCTGTCCAGTTAAGCCAAAGCGTAGAAAAAAAGTGCGCTATTTTCAGGGTGAAATTTCAAGTCAAACTGAGTTAGTTTTGGTTCTCAAAGCATTTTGATTGGATAGTTAATATTGCTGTAAAATTATTATTGGCTACTTGAGTTTTAGTTCAATGAAAGAAAACTAATAAATTTAATTAAGCAATAGCCCTTTCAATTCCTTATTTTAGTTTGGCTACATCCCCTTCCTGTTCAGCGCACTCACTTTACGGGCTAGCGTCGAGCTGTGCATCCGCTTCTCACTACCTTTTTGCTTTCAATTACTCTCCGCGAGCTCAATTTATCAGGCCCAGGCCCCGGTCCGAGGTTCGAATCCCGCGAACGGGCTGGCTGCATGGGTGTTTTCGTGGTTTTCCCCATGTGTAACGTGTATACGAGCCAGTTCCCTTAGAAAGTCCTCCACGAAGGCATCCCTCCCCTTAGGCAGATAGCCCTCGAGGCTTTGCCGTAATTAAATAACCTAACCTAGTTCAATTTATGTATTTATTTCATATTTTCATGTCCAAAAAGGGACTATTTAAGGTTACTGATAAGATCTCCTTTTGTAGCTGTAAGCTAGTATAAACAGTTTATAGTCATTATAGTTCGTTGAAAGTTGAAAGCCCTTGTCTTGTGACCAGGTATATGAAATTGTGGAGTGCCTATCGCATCCATAATAATGATGGGCAAAGAAGAATATTTGTTCTAAAGAATTAGTTATCAGGAAATAAAACTATGTGTTAAATTGATACCATATCTGCAAATATTTCTTCTCTGTTATGCACCTTGCGAACCTATGGAACTCTACCATTCTATATACGCTGTACAGAATCATGAAATATCTGCAGATATATTGTACATATACCTAGCAAAATTTTATTTCATTTCATATAAAGAAAACTGCAGTTTCAAATACTTTTTTGCTAGCGAACGTTTGTGTCTGTTCCACAAATTGTCTTTCGCACACAGATCGCGTTCAAAGCATGTGCAGCGCCGATGAATGGATGGCTTTTCTGGCTTTTGGAACCTATGTTATTCAACACCCACCAGTTGATCGCTTATCATATGGAAAAGTCTCAAAATGGGTTCTTTTATGCTCTTATTCCCCCCCCACCAATTCCAGGTGCTCCACATGGGGCCTGGACTGCAAATGGATTAAAACTACATTTCCCCCCTCCGACAACAAAGCGAAACTAACAATGTCAATTACTTCCCTCCCCTCTCTCTTAATGTGGGAGTCCATCCAGAGCAAGGCGAGTAAGAACAGATGCTCACCAGGGACCAAGAATCGTTCCCGTTGCGGTAGGGGGAGGGTTACAACGGAATAACCCGGTAGTAGTTCGTACCCCCAACACTTTGCTTCCCCCCACTTTCTGTATGATTTATTTTAATTTTACACGTTTACATTCAAACAGAGGGTGAAGTTCTGTCGCATGATTAAATTCTAACCGCCTGTGATTATTTTACCCCAGAGAATTGTTTGCGCTTGCTTTTTAATGCTTCCCCTTTCTTCCTCTTTGCTAAAAGAGGTAACTCCCTGGGAAAAAGAAAAAAAAAAAAAAAAAAAAAACATGCCTAGTTTTCTTGTTTCTATCGTAAAGTTTATCGTTTTATTTCTACAGTTCCTCTGATATACATTAAATACATAATATGTAATTAATAACATCTCTCTGCCAAGTGATGATGATTAGTAATGGATGTCATAACAAGACTTATTAATTTATTAATTTATTTTCTTTTATCCTTTCTTACCTGTTTATATATAGCTTAAGATATCCATTCTATTATTATTATTATTATTATCTTTTTTTTTTAATTTTTTTTATTTCAAACGTAATCGTGTCTTAAATAATTAGATTTTTAGTTTTTTAAGAACTTTTTTGGAGTATGTTTACTAAGATCAGAGACAATCACATTATGTTCCACAGAATATTTTCAGTAGTTCTGTGGTTCTTTTTTGCAATAAACTCGAATTTAAAAATAAGCGAAAGTATTATGAAATAATACAAATTAATAATTCTTATATCATTTAATAACAATTTTGCTAATTTTTCTGCCATTTAAAAATTTTGATAATGATATTTTATCATATCATATTTTGATAATCATTCCATTTAATGAAGAACATTTATTTGGTTTTCAGATTAGTTGTATGTACTGCATACGTTAATTAATTAAACCGGGTAAAAGTACAATTATTCTTACAAAATTTAATGATAGGTTCACATATATGGTATGTGAGTGATAAAAGAGTTTTTCTTTACGATTTCCAAGTTTCTCACAAATATTCTACTAGACTTAAATTTGACATGTGTTTATAAAAAAAAAATCTGTATAATTCATGATAAACATGGCTATAGGATAATTTAAAAAAAAGTACTGCATGTATATCGACAGGATATTCGAAACTTTAAAGCTAGTGGAAATTCGAAAAAGGAAATACAATGCATAGGATATTTGAAGATCGTGGTATATTTTTAATAATTCCAGTTCTTACAGTTTTTGCTTCTATTAAATATTTGAAGGCATAAGTTCTTTTAATGTGTAATAAACTAGGCAGACATTTCCCACTACAAAAAATCATTCTGTGACATTCGAGACATTTTTCAGCTTTTTTTCTTTTGAGAACAGTTGGTTTACGAGACTCATACTTTAATTTATGAGACAGTTCTAATTTTTTTATGGAGAATCTTTTTTCTAGTACATCTATATGAAGGGAAGAATTTTTTCCCTCCCCCTTTAACCAGGAAGTAACCTCTTCTCACATATTCCCCTTCTTTTCAGTTCTCCTCGACAACAGCTACTGTCACAAACCTTCAAAGAAGAGCTTCAAAGGACCTTCAAAGAAGAGCTGTCACTTTATTCCGAAGAGTTTTGAAGAATGTTCCACCCATTATATATCCAAGAGACATTCTTCGTGAAAGACCGCTGAAGAAAGATTCGTTTTTGCGATTCAGTAAACCACGTCATTCAACTTAGGAGTATTCCGAAGAGGCGTGGTAAAAAAGGCGCTCTTTCTAAAAGCTATTATATATGCTTAATTGCATCTCATTTTATGAAAAAAAATAAAATGCTTTTTATTTTATTTATTATTATTATTATTATGATTTTTTTCAGCGCGCGAAAGAAAACTTATTATTTACCTTTAACGATGCTATTTGTCTACTGATTCTTGCCAATGTTTATCATTGGGAATTTAGATTGAAGTGGACAAGATGAAACAGTTCAAGTTGGGAACAGGAATTTCCAAAGCTTGTTTTTAGTAATATAAATACAAGTTTATACAATAAATGGATAATTAATAAGAAAATAAAACGGAACGTATGGAAGCAATGGCGTATATTGCAGTATACACATTGTAAAGTTCTAGGAATGGATTTATAAAACTTAAAAATTTTAAGAAACAAGTTTTTTCACCACTCTCTTTTTTCCTCACTGCGCGCTTCATTTATAATTCTTTATATCCTCTTGGTACTTTCAAGAAGTTTCTGCTTGCTTTCGTAGAAGTTAATTGTGAGAATACGCCTTAACTGCAGTTGAATTTCATTTGAGGAGTTAGAAAAAAGGCCCACAAGAGGATGCCATTATATGAAGGCGTTACCATGCCATTACATTCGTTTGCTGGCATCTTTATGAAGGTCGGCCTAGTATTCTTCAATTCAAATATCTGCACGACGATCAGATTTTTCGAAGAGCTCTGTCAAGTAGGAAAAGTTCTATCCTGCCCTTTATAGCCTTGAAATTTGAGTATTAAAGATTGCTCGGAGACTTCACATTACATAAAGCAACTCCTCTGTGTGATGAGATACGAAGGTTAATATCTAAACATAAAATTTTGACAGGGGACACCAAAACTTCAAAATGACCTTTTAAGGTATAAAAAATAGGTAGTATTACTGATGAAAATTAATCTGAAAGATTGTATCGAACATAAACCCAAGGACCTCAGATAATACTGCCAATGTTAACCCTTTAACTGTCAAGTTATTTTAATGATTTGGGTACACAAATTGTTAAATTTTTTCCGAGATACAGTCGGGTTTGACAAAAAAATGAAGCCGAAATAAACGTCTCCCGATATATATTCGGGTATAACAATACGATGCACTCAAAAAAAAAAAAAAAAAAAAAAAAAAAAATTACCCCGAGTAATACTCGGGCGTGACATTTTCAAACACCAGTGCTGTACCCGAGATTATCTCGGGCATGACAGTTAAAAGGTTAATGAGACATTCATAAGGCTTGTTGAAGAATCGCGAAGTCAGCTTCTGGCATTATACAACTGCAAAAACTTTTAACACAAGATGAATTTCTAACCTGAATAGAACAATTGCTGCAAAGCCAACAATTGTATTTTGACACGTGTGATAGAAAGATGGAATTCTCAGAAATTTTACTTTAGACGGCAAATTGGCTACTCGACCTATTTAACAATATTTTATGATCTGATCACTCAGTGTTTCAAATGGAAGACTATGTTAATAGGTATAACTGGGTTTTCTGTTTCAGGTGAAGATTTGACTTTTTTTTGAGTAATTGAGAATTTTTTTGAGCAATTTTTGAGTAATTGAGATAGAATCAAAAATAAGGTTTACTGGAGACATGTACGCCACTCTGCTTGGGTGGAACAACCTCGTTTGGTGTATTTGGAAGCTATAATTTCACTTTCTCTCAGTAAGATATGGAAAATATTCTTTTGCCACTGATGACAGCAACACAACATTCGCATCGGCAGTAAAAATTTGTAACGCGAAGGGTATACTAGAGCTTGTGTGGAATTTTGAAATCAAGTACAGCAAAACCTCAACGAACAGTGTATTATAACAACACTAATTTCAACAGAATCAACTGCAAATACTAAGATAGTTATAATCATTAAAATTTAGGGAGAGATTTATTGATATCCAACATAAATCACTTATTATTCTCAGCCAAATTCACTATTTATGTGATTGTCGCGATTCATCTAAATAAGCTGAAGGAAAATTTTGAATAAATGCAAGTAATAATAATAAAGATCTATTAACGGAGTTATAAAAAACTTAGCATATTTGATGACCCCCAACTGATGGAATTGACTTCCTGTTATTTAACAGTTCAATTCCATTTTATTTGTTTAAATTATTATGCCTTGAGGCATATATTTAAGGCTTGCAAGAAAAGGCATAGCCACTCTGCAGTCGAGATTAGAAGTAATTGAAGTCAGAGGTTAGGTAACATTTACTGTGGTTCATAACCTCTAATTTCTGACCTCTGACTTTTATATTCTTATTTAGCAAAAAGCATGTGTAACTTGATGTTTGTATGCTGACGTTTGAAATGAACATGGATTTTGAAGCTAGCTATTTATTAATGTGTTTTTATTTCTTACTGATTACATTTTCCTCCTCTGTCTGGAAATTATGCACGTGGGAAAGGCAATTAAGTTTGCATAATAAAGGTATATTAAATTGATAGCTGCCATTCAAGGTAAAGAGTGAATATTTCAATTAACAAGGAAGGCCAAATAAATTTACCTAAAAAATAACAGATGGTATAGTTTTATTATAATTTTATGTATTAATTTTTCTAACTTTAAGGGGAAAGGCAAAATTCTAGTTTAGTTTTGACTTGTTAATACTTTGCAGCGTTTAGAATGTGATATTCTTTACACTTACACTATTCTGCAGAAAAGTCCTTTTTATAAAACTGAGATACAGTTTACTCAGATGCTAGTCTTTAAGTGTTCCGTCTAAAACCATTTTTGTGAAATGAATTGTTTTTGATTAGGAAATGGAAAAGCAAAAATGAATAAATAAATAAAATAAAATATTACCGAAGTAAACATTTTTATTTTAGGCCACAGTTACATGTATGTCATGTAATAAGAATCATACTCGTCAATTCACAACTTACCAAGTGCAAAACGCACATCAAGTGTTAAAAAAATTAACACTAGAGCAAAAATATTATTGTCCTGATGCTTGGAGTTAAGCTATTGGTACAGCTCGCAAAATTAGAGATATTTTATGAGCTCTGGTATTGATATGCCCACACAATTTTACTGTGTTTGGCTGATATTGAAATTTTTTTTACAAATCTTGGACTTGTGGCAATTCTGCTTCAAGATAATGAATGACGCCATTTTGCAAAACGCATTTCTTTTGTTTCGAGTCAAATTTAGGATGTTTTGAGAATTTTTGGTAATTTAAAAAATATTCCAAGTTTTTCCCCACTATTTTTTTATATTTAAGTTTTTTCCCACCTTTTTATATTGAAATTAATCCAAATAATTATTGTACAACTATTCGATTAGTTTTAGTTACTGTACTTACTAGTTCAACTCTTCAAAAGGCCTTTTGTACTCTCCTTCGAAATGTCTCATTTAACACGAATTTTGTTCTCTTACACGTAGTTGTAACTAACGCCTGAAGAAATGATTTGATCATAAATTATAAGATTTATTTTCCTAATATGGTTAAATATTACGTATTAAGATAGAGTTTTGCTTTTAATATCACATTTAACATTATTTGTTAGCGAGACTTAATTCCTAAAGTTAGAAATGCCGGAACCCTGCAGAAGGCCATTAGAAACGGTGAAAAAGAATAAATAAATAAAATAATTAATAACACAATAGCAAGTCATTAAAAGTAAATGCAAATAAGTAAATAAAAATACAATTAAATTAAGTTTAATTCTGAGGTAAAACTGCGAATCAATAATATAACAAAAAATCTGAGCACTTCCTCATTTGGAGATCCCTCAAAAACTGAAGATTACCGCAGCCCGGCTTCGGCTGAATTTAAACTGTGCTTCTAAGGCGATTTTGAAATTTCAGTTTACAATTTTAACTTTGCTGTGGCAAAAATTGTTCTAAAATGGCATTACTTACACTGTCACCGGCGTTTATTGTTTATTTGATCAGAAATTTTCACCCATCTCTTTTAATTTTTGTATAGTTTCAAATCTCAGCGGATGTGCTTTTACAGTAGTTCCTTTTTTTGGGGGTTTTCAACAAAAAAAAAAAAAAAAAAAATGGTTGCAGAGTGACATTTTTATATGTTGTCTTATACTGCTAAAAAGCGTTCAACTGTATGGCGAAGTCTTCAAAATTTAGGAATACAGAACAAGGGCGGCAAAATTTTTAGAATTTACAGAAACGCCGAGCAGCAAAATTTAGGAATGGCTTTTTTTTTTTTTTTTTTTTTTTTTTTTTTTACGAATATGAGGAAGACACTGTACTCAACAGAATTTAAGGGTGGCAATTTTTCTTTTCTTTCTTTCTTTTTTTTTTCTTTTTTTTTTTTTAAATTCAGGGAGACAACCGGGCAATACAGTTTAGGACCTGCAGAGTTTGCACCGGCAACTATTAATCTATTAATATTTGAAACAAAAGTGCGCAAAAGTGACTTCCGCTTTTAAAAGTGTGTGTTTAATTTTGTTTATTGCTAATATTGTCTATAAAGTACATTTAATTCTTTCTCTCCTTTCCCTTCCTTGCCTGGTTCACAACAGACCTACAAATCTCATTTATTTAAACATATTTTTACTGATAAGAATATTTCAATTTTTTTCGCTACTATATTAAATTTAAGGCTGTAAATTCCACATCTGTTATTTCAAATCAGACAAGAGATAAAAATTCTTAAAAAGAAAGAATATCGGTTAACAAAACGAAATGCCGAAAGCGTATAATTAACTTCTTACGTCAGTATGTGTAACGTGAATACGAGCCAGTTTTCCTTAAGAAGGCACCTTTCCTCTCAGATTGTCCTCGTGTGCTTTGTCGTATTCAAAGTAACAAAACCAACCATCTTACAAATCTTTAAAATGATAATAAGAAGAACGTCATTCCTGCATAAACTAGAATAAGTGTAGCGTAAACGTAATAAGGGCCGTTCCCATTGGGATTTATCTGAGCTAACGGACACAGCTGACGTAGCCGACCCATTTCCAAAATAAGTTTTTTCCCATAGGACAGCAAGTTAAAAAATCTGAATTGCAGGCATAGCGGAGCTAGTCGACATAAATAAGCTCCGTTAGCTCAGATAAATCCCAGTGGAAATGGCCCTATAACTTTCGCATGGACTCAGCAGTTATATC